ACACATGCTCCAGTTCGCAGCCACGGGACGAGGAATTTGAATCCATGTTAATGAGTAATTGAGAATCTGCCATTTAAGCGACGGCTCATGCAATCCACGATGGTAGTGTGTTTTCTCAAGTTCTGCTAATAGTTAAACGCTCAGTGTTGTCTTGTCGAGACAGGACGAACGCAATTTACTTAACAGCTCATCGGATGTCCCCTTCGCTCAGGTCAGAGGCTCCACGTGACATCAAATCCTCATTTAATAAATTACGCGACTGAAGTCCTGCCCTCCTCAGTACTTAGGTGATTGCGCAGTTTCATAACCCAACCAGCAAAAACTCGAGCAGCATTGTCCACTGTTAATTTTTTAGCTGCCCTTAATTCTTAATGAAACCTTTGTGCGTCATCTGTCTAGGATACCATTCGTTACATGGTCAGCCATCTACCGTTGCTGTGTGTTAGTACTAGACTTCCTTTATGCCGAATCAATCGACATGTGAAACTGAAAGTCACGCTCCAGTAGGTTCTTTCTGATTTAGTCTTCTAGCTAGTCTCACCAGTGGCGTTCGCACGCGTGAAATCTGATTCGTGCGTTGTAGTATGATACACGCAACAAGGACCAAGTAGTGCGTGACATTCGTAGACGGACTGTTTAACCTCAAGTCTTAGCATTTTCTGGCCATCGAAGTAAGCTGAGTGAGGAGTGAGAGAGCGTGGTAGTTTCTTCGTAAGTGCAAGCCAACATTATCGCTTCTGAAAATTGGACTGTCTGGGCAGACTTTGTACCAGACCATTCTCTGTGCCCAGGTCCACTCCGTGTATTTCTAGCCGTTGAAGCGTGATGGGTATGGGTTGTAAGTCTGTGATCAATTGTACACAATTTCACCTAAATTAACACATAGAATAGGGCGTTTCTCATCGTGTTTCACAGAGGGACAATCAGATTCCGGGGCAATTTAGTGTACAACCCACAAACGTAACGATTCGTTTACTGCATCATCAAAAAATGTCCTGGTGGTCTCAACTTTAAGCTCGCCAGGCGGATGCCCAGCTGCTTAAGGTATTACAGTGGTAATGTCCAAGAGGACCCATTTGTCAGGCGTTTTTACCATTTGCCATCCATGTATACGTAAGATAAGCATCAACCAGCCTGGCAGACGCCCCACGTGAGCACAGCGTGTCTTTTGGCTGTCGAACGGACATATGGCAAACTCCCGCAATTTAGGTCGTTGACATAAGCTGTGCGCACCTACCTCTTCCCCACGGCCTCTTTGTCAACCACCTTCAGAGGTGTTTTATCAATACAGTAGAGCCTGATTCTTTAACTTGTCTCAGTGGAATTTTCGTTTTATATGAGGGCTGCACCCTGCTCTCCCGCAAAGGCCTTCCCCACAGACCTTGATCTTCATGAAGCAAGTTGAACTAAAAATGACGCGCAGTCAACCACTTTCAGAAGGGTATGCTCTTTTTATAGGGTTGCGGCTCCCTCCAGGTCACACACACATATACACACACACACACACACACGCAAAACGGATACGCCCTTACCACCCAAACTTTTGAAGCCGTTTTTATTGACCAGTAGATAAATCAAAAAATAAAACACAATTTCAAAGTGATTCAGATTACAAGTTAACATGCATATATTGACGAAGAGGCCTCCAGTGAACAATGTTTCTTTTTTTATTCAGGGCAGTAAAGACAATATGAGCATCCTCCTAGTCGGCCTTAACAAGCTTCCCGAGGTTGATCCTGAAGTAGTCCGACAGGATGAAGAACTGGAAGCTTCCATTCGCCAGCTTATCGAAAGTAGGTGCCGTTACGATTATTTCCTTGAAGATATTCGATCAAACACCACCGAATCGAATGAACTGCTGCAGTGTATGTTGCGCATCCATTACCCCCTTTTCCCAAAATTACATTTTAACAAAGCAGTCTCTGTACCAACAATAATTACACACCGAGGTGATGGCGGGAACCAGGACCGGCAACCCTTCGTGCGTTGATGTGTAACGGAACCGTATTTCGAACCTCAAGGTCACATGCGCACCGGCCTGCGATAACGATCACCCGTTTTTTTAAGGACGTCACAGTCAGTTGCGTTGTGATTGATCAGTCTGGTCTGCAACCGGTTGTCGAAAATGTGCGCTAGCACATAGAAACTCGAAAACGAACACCAACTTACTTTTGGCAGTTTAACAGCAATTGTGCGGACTCTCTTCGCCCCCTAGGATTACTATAAGTGCTAATCTAAACGAAGCTCTCCCAGCAGGTTACAGAACAAAGTTAGCTGCTCGTCTGTTTACACTGATGGTCGACTTACCACGGTGTCTTCGTATTAGTTGGTATTAAGGGACAA